TGGGCTGCGTGTGCGCGGCCAGGAAGGGCTGTCCCGGAGCCTGCAGGAACTGCTGGCGCGGCGGGATGAAGGGTCGCGGATTGGCGGCGCCCGGCTGGTTGAAGTGCAGAATTCCCACCGGCCCTTGAGGCTGAAGGTTGGGCCGCACCGGCCTCTCCCTGGGGAAGACGGGTTGTTGCCCTTGCTGGTTAAAAGCCGGCCCAGGCTGACTGAAAGGCATCGGGTTTTGGGTAGGGACGGGATGAGCGCTGTTGAGGGGAGGCGGAGGCGGCGGCGGCGGGGGGCTCCGCTGCTCGAACAGGTGATGGCTGGGAAATCGGGGATCTGTGGGAATCAGAGAGGTAACGCGGTGGTTGGAGAAAGGGAAAACACGTAGGAGATGTTTCAGTCTTGAGAGCTACCCTCCCGGCTACGCGTCTGTTGCTCGGACCACCTGCGTATGCAGGGAACCGATGCTTGACAGAACAGCGCAATTGGTAATAAACTGGAATTAGGAATAACTTCGAAATTCTGCTCTGCTGAAATCAGTGAAGGATTTACAGGGATTAGAGTTTAAGACATGCAAGAACTCACAAAGTTTTGCTGCCATTTGCTGATCGGGTGTTTAGTGGCTTTTTACATGTTTATATGTATATATACACGTGCGTGTATATTTATACACACACACAGAGTATCTATTTTGTTTCTTATGCTGTATCATTTTAGCTAACTTTAACAGACTAAATTTAGTCTTTAAACTTTACGCTTTAACACGATTTACAGCCCCTCCTCTTCAGGTTCTTGGGGACACTTCGTGTTACGGGATACGAACTCAAACCGCACGTTCGCCTTACAAAAAGACCATGTTGTATGTTAATGCAATAAAAAGCCTTACCTCCTATGAAGAAAGGGTCTCTTTCCTGAGGAGGGGGAGGAGGGAGCGGCGGCGGGGGGGGTGGTGGGCCTCTCCACTGGTCCTGGATGGGCAGCCTGGGGGCTTGCGAGAAGTTGGTAGGAACAGGTCCAGGAGTGTGCTGCTGAAAATCTGGGGGGCCCTGTTTAATAGGACAAAACTGAGATTAAGACCACTGGGAACTCATCTAACACTTGCTATATGTATATGTATGTATGTGTGTGTGTGTGTATTTATATATTTATATTTTTTTTTTGTCTGAAAAAAACAATTGATTTACAAGTTACCTCCTAAAGTCTGCACAAATTGGCAGTCCCTACCGAGTCATTCAATGGAAGAGATATTAAGTACTGAGTACAGTATCTTGAAATGAATTCTCAACGTTTTAATAATCACTAGCATTTTGAATGCCATTTCTTCTCAAGCTTACTGAAATCCATGCAAATATCCACCTTCTTTCCCATTAATCCAAAAAAATCTGAATGTCTACTTTAGAAAAAATTTCTGACATTTATCTTCTTAAACTGTGCTATTCTTTGCCATCTATTTAGTACAACCTCAGCTACAGAAATGAAGCAGCTTTACTTAAAAAGGAAAAAAAATGGTGGCATCCAGAAAATTAAAGAAATCACCTTTCTAGATAAAAGCAGGAGAGCATTTCTGTTAATTCAAAACAACTTAAGCACCTGAATCATTACAAGAATGAAAGGTTACAAAATCATCCCTCCCCATTAAAAAAAAAAAAGTGTGCTTTTATATATTGCAGGAGAGCAGCATGTTAATTCAAAAGCAGAAGTATGCAGAAGACATGCTTAATTCAGTAATTCATGCTATTACCATTTTTCCTTGATATCAAAAGTTGACAAAATATTTTAGCACCCTCTGCTAACTGAAAGAAACTATGCCTCACAAATCATTATATTCAAACATTCCCCTATTATGTGCAAGTAAATTAAACAAGTAATCAACGTAATCTAAGAACATCTCGTTTTTTACCCTACGTGAATTTTGAAATTGGTGGTGGCATCCGTTCTGTCTGCATCTGATATTCACCAGCTGCTTTGAACTTGCCCTTGCTAAAACCAAGCTTTTCAAAACAGATTTAAGAACAAACACTCCTTGCTCTACTGAAATATGGCCACTGGCAAAGGATCAGACTGCGTTAACAGTGGCTTACCACTTATTTACTGAGCTGCCCTAACCAAGAGCGTGCCCAACCACGAGGCAGAGTGCCCTTGTTTACAACCTCCATGTGTCCCTCGCGACTGAACAAGCTAAAACACACCCAGAGTATGAGGCATTTCAGGGCTAAGTTACGGCCACTTAACAAGATCCAATCATTTAGCCATATTTCAGACATTTAATAAAAGTCTGAAGAAGCATGACAAAATTAGGAAGTGGAACAATTCAGGGTGATGTATGTTCCAGGGGCATGCTCTTTCTTGATGAGAGCCTGGCCCATGTAGCAATGCAGAGCTCATAATACTAAATGCACTTAACTTAGGCATAACAGATAATTATCATTGTTTGTTTGTTTGTTTATTTTTAATCAAGAACAGGAAATATCCTAATATGAAAAAACACAACCCCCTTAAACTGAATCGTTAATACCACCAGCACTGAAGCTCATACTGTAGTTCCACATAAGGGAGGGAAGATCTTCAATATCCAGATAAGTCTCATACGTTATTTATGATCCACAAATATTTTTATTGTAAAAATATTAGCATTTTAGCACAGGAACTTCCTTGCACAGCAACAGCAGGTATTTGCCCAGGAAACTGAAGCCTTCTATTCACTACCAAAGCGGCAAAACCCAAAGCTGCTCTGCACCCTTCTATCAGCATGCTCCTTGCCATGATTTGCAAGGAGTGAACCAGTAGATGAGAGAGCTGCTGAGGATCTACATCTATTAAATCTCTGGCCTACCTGAAAATGCCTAAACAGAGATCATTTGAGATATTAACACTTCTCATTTCAAAGCAAGACTAAGGCTACTTATTTTACATCACAAAAGAGCCATCAACTGTAAATACTTTATCACTCCTACACATTCAAGGATCTATATTCCCTTGCCAGGGTCCTGACTCATCCAGCCTCCTACGGCTATTTAGTAGAAGGCCATTATTTTATAGTTGAGCTTGGCAGTCCTCTATTTTTAGGAGGATCTGCTACACTTCTGTAGGCTAACACCCCCGAGCACAAAATACTCCTGCCACCTCAGGATAGACTAACACTTTTGAATTTCAAAGGCTGTCTACAAACTGTAGCAGCTGAAGGAAATGGGAGACATTGGGATGGAGGAAAGTGACATTTATTTGTCCCATCAAAATCCATTTCGGTTTAGCTGAACTCGGCTGTTCAGCTGCATTGCCCTTCCCTGGCGTTGAACAGGACAGCCCTGGCCGCCTGCCAACACAGCAACGCGCACAAACCTTGAGGATCCTGACCCTTCGCTGCCACGACGCAACAGCACCACCACCACACGTAGGAGCTGCCAGAGGTGCTTTCAAAACTAAGGTTAAATGAATCCCTTCATCCTGGACACCTTGGTGATACAAGCAGATTTATTAAAAGGATAGCTCTCAGCCTTCGGTCACGTGCAGGAACACATAGCACTTCTGCAAGTCACAAAGCCTCCAGTGAGGCACCCAGAAAAAACAACTGGTATTTAGTTTAGTTATTACTTTATCACTGCATAATGCATAAGGTCATTGCAACAGAGATAGGGAGAGAAACCCATTCGTTAGGGCAGTTTCCCCCCCAAGACAGTTTTCATCTTACAGTTCATTTGCAGCACAGCCACACGGGCATATCACGCCTGGACGGGCAACCTGGCATTTCCGATTTTCAGAGCACTTCACTCAAACTCTGCAGTTCTCGTAGTACGTATCTCTAGTCACAACATATGCCTACATGTGTCTTAGTTACCCTTTATAAAGCAGCAAGTGAAAAAACAAACTGCACAGAAACCTACTGAGAACCTGGGTGAAGAAAGCATGAGTACCACAAATTTACCATCTGAGCTGAAGAGCAGTAATAATCTGGCTGGGCTTGACTTCAAGCACCAAATGGCATTACAGTGACCATAATCTACTCTACCTGCTTCTTCCAAGCTCAACACATTCTGCCTCAGTCTAAGCCACAGATCCTCACCAATCTCTCCCCTTGCTCCTAAAGGCCAGTTATACACTGGTCTAGCTTACAAAAATCTAGCGACTCCATTCCTATTCCCAAAATGCGTAACCCAATTTGAAGCATCTTCCCCAATATCTGTTCCTTGTCCAATTAAATCTTAGCACTCTCCTGATCCCACTTGCTCGTTAGATATCTCCTCTCATCCCCACCACTTCTTCCTCCCTGCCCCTGGCCCCCGACGCCAGCGTGGGTCCAGCTTCCCAACTCCAAACTGGCTGTCTTGTCTTGCGGCTGCCAGACACGACCTCCCATTTGTCTCGCGCCTCGCTTCTGGCAAGAAAACGCAAGTGTAAAACAATCTCTAATCTCCAAATTTTACCCACAATTGAGTTTCCTAGTCCAGCTTCAGCCTCTCCTGCCTGCCTCTCCTGCCTGTATGCTCAGTGCAGGCAATTTCCTCTTCTTCTCGACAGGGAAGAAGGAGCTAAGGAAAGCGCTGGGGGCGGGGGCAGGGGGAGAGAGCCTCCCCTTTCTTTTTTTTTTATTTATTTTTATTTTTTTGCAAAAAAACAGACGTTGTTTCTCATAACAGCTTCCCCTCTCCTGCCACCCCATCCCTCATTATTCTGCCCAGATCTACCTCTTCCCAACGCAGCCCTGAACTGCAAACGCACGGAAAGTCCTGCTGACTTTCACACAGTTTGAGCTCTTACTACTGAAACATCCCCAGAGCAGCTGCACTCAGTTTTTTCCTTGAAAATCTGAGTAGCTATAAAACATGCAAAATACGATTTCTAAATAACTCACTTGGGCAAAATGGTATTTTTCCACAGCTTCAGTCTCAGAAAAGTACGAAAGCAGCTTTTGTATGTTTTAGAACCGAATAACGTGAAGTTAATTTAGAGCTAAGAAAGGTCACTCTTACTAATTATTTATAAATAATATTAAAAAATTTATTTATAAAAAAATTACAGCCAAATTACAACCAGCAAGATATTTTACTGTTATAAAAACAAGCAACATTGATTTGAAGCTCCCTTCAGTACCAAAGGTGGCCATATGGCTTAATTTAAGATGCAATTTTTTACTATCCCCTCGACCACCTAACATATTTTGAGCAAAAATAACAATTATCCAGTTGGAAAATATTTTTTAAAACCTTAAGCTAGTTATTAGTCTTAAATTGCAAACAAAGCACACCTGAAATCAACCAGATTTTGTAAACTAACATTGGATACTTAATTTTGCATTTATTTGGGTATAAACGTAATTTTCTTTTTTGATACTTATTTTTACATTTTCTTCTCTCATCTCCTAAAGATGCGTCCAAAATGCAGCATTAGGATTGCAAAAAATAACAGAGTCTCACCAAGATACATTAAGAAAATTGTTTTCTGCTCTAGCTTTGGTAGTACTATATTTCATATAAGTATGTCCTAACAATACAAGTCTGAGCTCAAATAACTCCACAACAGTCCAACAAAACCAAAGAGAGAAGAAAGTATTTTAAGTCTGTAGCTCTTCCTACCCGCTTCTCCCTTTTTCTGCCCCTCACATTTATGAGTTCTGCTTTTTGGTTTTTGAGATTCCAGTTAAGCTTTGAAGCTACTACGTTTTTAGCGACTGCAAATGTTCTCCAGTCTTAAAGTCAACCCCGCTTTTTCCATTTTGCGGGTAAAGAAAATGAAGGTCCTTTTTATATCCTACAACTACATACTACAATGCACTACAACTACACTGCAATTAAGCGTCATTAAGAAGTGTCCACTTATGTTTTGTCACTTACAGACTTTAACTTTACATATAGGGGCATGCTGAAGAACTAATAAAACATTATGAACAACCACATTTCTTGGCTGATAACCAAAGGACAATCATGCAGAGTCACTTACAAAGACATCTGTTATTTGCAGAAAAACTACAAATATTTGCTTTTAAAAAAGAAATCAGGAGTTTGATTCTTTTCCATCTAACACCAGCAAAAAGGACAGACATCCTCTTATT